CCCTAAACCCTAAACCCTAAACCCTAAACCCTAAACCCTAAACCCTAAACCCTAAACCCTAAACCCTAAACCCTAAACCCTAAACCCTAAAACCCTAAACCCTACACCCTAAACCCTAAACCCTAAACCCTAAACCCTAAACCCTAAACCCTAAAAGTGTAGGAATGATCGTGCTGTCATCTTCAAGACTTCGAAGGCAAGAGAGCGAGAAGACTTCAACTTCTTTCTGGCCGACTGCGTGTCTGCCTCTACCGCTGCTCCCACGTATTTTCCCGCCTACGAGATGGAAGTGCTGCCTATGGCCGACGATCCGCTGACACTCAACCCTCGCATTCTAGTGGATGGCGGTGTGTTGGCAAACAATCCATCGATCATTGGCGCTGTAGAGGCCATGAAAAAATGGGATGGCAAGCGAGATAATATCCTCATGCTGAGCATCGGGTAAATGAAGTGATTCATCTACGACAAGGACTCCTTGTTCTCTCTCCTCTCTTTTCAGAACTGGAAGAAAGGAGTACTCCAGGACACCCGAGCAGTTGAAGAATGCCGGCTTGTGGGGCTGGAAGGTACCCATCTCATCACTATGCATGCAGGGTCCCAGCGAGCATATCGACTACCAAGTGAAAGCCGTAAGAAGCAACGTCTCGTGTGCTTTGCTTCCAAGTCGAGGGCTTCATCTCTCCATGTTTTGTTGATGTCAGGTGCTGGACCCTGGTCGTTACATACGTATTCAAAATGAGGACCAGCTGAGCGCCAATGACCTGATGGACGATGCTTCGGAGCAGCACATAACAGATCTGGAGGCACTTGGCAATGCACTCTTCGAATATCATAACCACAACGACGAGCTGGCAGAATTCCTACGCAGGCTAGCCTAGCTACACAATGCGTGTACATACGCTAGCACACATCGTCCACACAGATAGCCAGACAGATAGAAAGGAGAACGAAAGCAAGCACCGACGAGAGTGTTGGATGTTATTGTGTATATTTTGAGTGTCTCTGTGCGCCCACCGGGAGTGTGCGTATATGATGAATGTCGCTGTGCGCCCACCTGCGCATGCACGCGTCGACTTGGAGTGTGTGTATATTTTGAGTCTCTCTGTGCGCCCACCGGGAGTGTGCGTATATGATGAATGTCTGTGTGCGCCCACCTGCGCATGCACGCGTCGACTTGGAGTGTGTGTATATTTTGAGTGTCTCTGTGCGCACAACTGCACATGCACGCGTCGACTTGGAGAGTGTGTATATTTTGAGTGTCTCTGTGCGCCCACCGGGAGTGTGCGTATATGATGAATGTCTCTGTGCGCCCACCTGCGCATGCACGCGTCGACTTGGAGTGTGTGAATATTCTGAATGTCTCTGTGCGCACAACTGCGCATGCACGTTTGGACTTGCAGTGTGTGTATATGTTTGTGCGCACACCTGCGCATGCACGCGTCGACTTGGAGTGTGTATATATGATGAATGTTTCTGTGCGCACACCTGCGCATGCACGTGTCGACTTGGGGTGTCGACTTGGGGCGTGTGTATATGATGAATGTCTGTGTGCGTCTGGAGGTGAAGTCAGTGTATATGATGAATATCTCTGTGCGCAAACCTGCGCATGCACGCGTCGACTTGGCGTGTGTGTATGTTAAATGTCTGTGTGCGAATATACCTGTGCATGCACGCGTCGACTTGGAGTGTGCGTATATGATGAATGTCTCTGTGCGCACAACTGCGCATGCACGTGTCGACTTGGAGTGTGTGTATATTTTGAGTGTCTCTGTGCGCCCACCGGGAGTGTGCGTATATGATGAATGTCTCTGTGCGCACAACTGCGCTTGGAGTGTGCGTATATGATGAATGTCTCTGTGCGCACAACTGCGCATGCACGTGTCGACTTGGAGTGTGTGTATATTTTGAGTGTCTCTGTGCGCCCACCGGGAGTGTGCGTATATGATGAATGTCTCTGTGCGCACAACTGCGCATGCACGTTTGGACTTGCAGTGTGTGTATATGTTTGTTGGCACACCTGCGCGTGCACGCGTCGACTTGGAGTGTGTGTATATGATGAACGCTGTGTGCGCACAGCTGCGCATACCCGTTTGGACTTGGCGTGTGTGTATGTTGAATGTCTGTGTGCGTATATACCTGCGCATGCACGCGTCGACTTGGAGAGTACGTATATGATGAATGTCTGTGTGCGCACACCTGCGCATACCCGTTTGGACTTGGAGTGTATATGATGGATGTCTCTGTGTGCGCACACCTGCGCATGCACGTTTGAATTTTGATGAATGTCTTTGTGCACACCTGCTCATGCAGACGTCGACTCTGCTGCAGAGACAGCGCAGGCGAGTGGAGGCAAGTACTTCAAAACGGTGCGGTGTAGGGGTTTGGCAGGGTAGTGAAACAAATACGTGAGCCGGTGTTCGCCTTCGTCCTTCGTTGTCTTTTGCTATAAGTCTACCGGATGCAAGTATGGGGAGAGGTGCATGTATGCCCAAGGGAGAGAGGAGCTGAGAGGCAACCCAAACATCATATGTGCGGTTTGCGAAACAGGGTTTGGCTGCGATGTGTGTCACCGATCATGGCTATACGGACACATCTGTGTCTCCAGGTGGTACAGGTCTCAACAATTGCTTCTACGCCCATGAGGAGCTGGAGCAGCAAATCTGGAGGTCAGGGAAGACAGTAAAAAGAGGGGAAAAACGCCTATTCTAACCATGATGCGCCTCTATTGAAACAAAGCTCAGAACCATTCCAAGGACCCGCATATAGGAGACCAGTAGGCACATTGGCAGGGATTTCTGCTGGCATAGACCCTCTGCTCTTGTTGGTTTCGACCTGCAGCCAATAAAAGGGGCCATCCGTCAGAAGACCATGTACGTGTATTTGGGTCCATGCACGCACCGGCGATGTGCCTAAAAATGTAACTGGGCCTGATGCTTTTGCTGTAGCTCGCCTGATCCAAGTACGTTAACATCCGTTGCTCACTTGCTGTTTGCCTGAGCTCTCAGCGCCATGCAGCTTGAGCGACAGGAGCTAGGCCAGTCAGCAGAGTCACCAGGTTGGATGGGAGAGATTCCCATTCGTTACAGCGCTCACCGCGCCCATTTGCATGCGCGCGTCGACTTGGAGTCTATATCATGAACGTCTCTGTGCGCACACCTGCGTATGCACATTTGGACTTGGAGTGGGTGTATATCATGAATATCTTTGTGCGCCCACCTGCGTTTGCACGTTTGGACTTGGAGTGTGGGTATATGATGAATATCTCTGTGCGCACACCGGCGCATGCACATTTGGACTTGGAGTGTCTGTATATGATGAATGTCTGTGTGCGCACACCTGTGCATGCACGCGTCGACTTGGAGTGTGTGTATACACAACAAGTACTTGCATTGACCGAATCAATCGTCCCTGTGTCCGTATCACTTATGAATCCAGTCCCATGAATACGCAGTTAGGGGGAAGAGAGATCGATCCCGCCCCACCATCACACCCCAATGCCCCAAACGCCCTCCCTCCCCCACGCAGGCAGTAGCTAGTGGCACGCACAAGAGCAATGGACGGACGCGAGCGAATCCAGCCAGACACATAGCCAAATTCCCGTCCCGTCCACCCCTCCTTCTCCATCAGCGCACGGGCCATGTGGGCGATGATCACGTTGGCATCGTGTCCCCACACTCTGTCGCACGTCACCACCAAGGGAGTGAAGGACATGTGGGAGTCGCGAATGGCCTCGCGGTATTTGTTCTTCTTGCTATTCTCGTGGCCCTTCAGGATGGACTTGATCGATCGGTTCTTGGAAGCATAGGAGGGTGCGTCAGCATCAGTGATGCAGACGTCATACGATGCAGCCGCCTGCCGCTCCCAAACGCTCCGAGGGACAATGTCCGCCCTGACACCGTCCTCTCCCTTCGTCCCCTCCTGCAACACCACCTCCCGACGCACGCCAGCCGCACCCCACGCCATCCCAATCAGCTCAGCAAAGGTGTCCCTCAGCTCGTTGTGACGCCGATTCACCAGGCCGTATCGCTTGCAGTCGAGCGCGTGAGTGACGGTGAGGGGTTTGTTGCAGTGGTCGCGGCGCGCAGCAAGGCCGGGCGGGTACCGTCCGTATTGCATATTGAGAGATCTGAAACCCCGCAGCATCAAGATCAGTCTTGCTGGCCTTCAGGACAAGGGTGGTCAACCAGCCGGACGTCTTGTATTCGGCGCTGCGATTGATCGCGCGGTGGCGCTGGCGGTCGATGTGAGGGAGGGCGGCTTCCCGCTTGGCCTTGTGGGCGGTGCCCTGCTGCTGCCGGCTCTGTGTGAGGGCGCGACGAAGCGTGGCACGGTGATCGCTAGGGTGGAAGGGTGCCTTGCCTTGGATGGACCGGGAGAGCACCTTGGTGCCCGCGCGAGAGGCGGGATATGCGGCTGCGGCTCGGTTTAGCGGGTCTCAGATGCCGGTGCCGCCGAAGCGGGCAGGTAGAAGTATCAGGTCGGCCTCCGAGGGCGTCACCGGACCGCCAAAGAGGGCAGGCAGGAACTCCTTGACGATGGCGTCACGAAGAGGGCTCGGCGCACACTCGTCGGTGAGCACGACTCGAAGGACGTAGCCCTACTCTCTCTGCAAGGACCGCGTCATCGCCGCGTGGGCCGTGTGGGGGAAGTTGCGGGAAGCTGAAATGAGCGCACGCACGCTGTGCACTCAACCCTCGACCTTCTCGCGGAGGAAGGCTGCCCTCCCCGTCTCGTCACCCATATAGCCGCCCACAAACCTCCTGCCCATGACGATTTGCACCCCCTCGGCCGCGAACAGCTCTCGCGCGGTGTGCACGAGGTCGGGCTTGACGACGAGGAAGCACTTGGCATGGTCGGGGTGGTAGCCATATGAGGGGCCGATGCGACACAGGGCACGGAACCACACGAGGATAGCGAGAAGTTTGCCGAGGGCCGACGAGTCGTCCGCATAACAGCACTGTCGAAGCGGGGCATCAGGCGAAGAGGCCGACGAAGAACAGGCGAATTCTCCTCCACATTCACATCTACATCCACACCCGATACACAGACGCACCCACCCCTCCCCCTTCCACTTCTGATGGCTTGTCATTGGCTTCTGATGACCCCTTTTCCTTTTCATCCTCATCTGATCCACACTCATCCCCGCCAAGGTCGTCTTACCTCCCACTCGATGGCATCCGATACCCCTCCTCAGCACAGGCGGCCCGCAAAGCATGGATGAGGGGGAGGCTGCCGCAGGCGTAGACGAACACCGCCAAGGAATCGCCCTGGGTTACAACTTCACGGCTCCACAGGCAGTCTGTCGAGTCTTGCAGGTAGAGGCCGGCGAAGCCTCAATAGGTGTTGGACACGTGACGAGAGCAGCGGGGCCACAGTACACGAGTGTTCCAGATGGCTCCAGGTCGACTGATGCTGTTGAAAGCGTTGTTCGCATCCACCAGCAGAAAGCCTTCAGTCCCATCCTCTTGGAAGATGTCGTTCATAGCATGCACGGCCCCCTCGATGCCCGCCTTCACCGATGCACAGCTGATCGGTGCCGCAGTCTCCAGGTCAGATCGAGTCGCCGGTGCCCGTGCATTTCCCCGCCAGGCGAGAGAGGACCTCTTCGATGCCAATCGGGCGGACCCCCGGGCATTTGTCGAGTGCGATGAGGCGGCACAACCGCAGGGCCTTGATGTTGTCTCAGGGAACAATGGTTTTGGCCAGGGCGGACACGGGAGAAGCCACTGCCGAGCGAAGGCGGCCGCTCTTGGCGCCGAAGCGAAGCAGGAGCCCCTGCCAGAAGTCCACGTCGCCTCCAGTCGGCCCAGCGCTCCCGCTCAGGCTTCGTATAGTGCGCTCCGCCGTTGACTCAGTGATGTCCATGTCTAAATATAATATATATATAAGGGGAGGGAGGGAGTCGCAGGGAAGGAAGGCCTCCTCGCATGGCTGCTGCTGCGGTGGGTGTTTCTCGCGAGGGACGTCGAGCAGTGTGACGCCTGGTGGGCGCTTCTCAGCTTGAGCAGAAGGATGGAGGACACCCCCGCCCCCCCTTCTCGGTGACGAAGCGGACGGCCGCCCGGATCTTGCCCTGCATGAGTCTGTTGAAGATGCGGTAGACGGACTCGTCGTCAAGAGGGGGCTGAGTGGTGGCGAACTGCTGGTCCAGTCGCTCAGCCTCGCAGAGCGCCTCCACCAGCCCGTCCCGCCACATCTCCAGCCGCCGCCAGACCACCCGGCGGATGTCCTTGGTTTGCCGCACATCGGGATCTCGCTGGATGAGTGTGCGGATGGAGACGAAGAGCCGTTCTGCACGCGCCTCCTGCCCGGCAATGCTCCCCACCTCGTCAGCGACAGCATCAGCAATAGCTCGGCCAAGGTTGCCATCGGATAGGGTCACACAGCGTAGGCGAAGCTGACAGACCCGCTGATGATACTCCTCCCACTCAGGAAAGCCCGCATCGCCGTGCGAGTTGACGAGGGGCTCGCCGAAGGCCTCCTGCATCTTGTCATCGACGAAGGAGGCCGGGGAGGGTGCGGCAGGGCCGTCAGAAGGGGAAGATTCAACATCACCACTGCAAATCACCGGGTGCATGGGATACACAAAATTCGTGCAGGTACCACGCTTGCAGTTGACACAGTTAGTGCAGAGGGCTCCCTTCTGGCGGCATGAGCAGTTTCTCTGCACAGCT